CGATGGCTACTACTATCATAGCTACCACTCTTATAACTGCCACTATTATAGCTGCCACTATTATGACTACCACTACCATGGCTGCCACTACCATAACTGCCACTACCATGACTACCTACCATGGCTATTACTACTATAGCTACCTACCATGGCTGCCACTACCATAGCTACCTATCATGGCTACCCCCTACCATGGCTACCCCTATCATAGCTACCTATCTAACCCTAACCTATGATAGTGACAGGTATGATAGTGGTGGCCATGATAGTAGTAGCTATGATAGTGGTAGCTATAATAGTAGTAGTTATGGTTGACTAGAATAATAACTAGAATAGCTACTTATACTTCTAAATATAGAAATCTCAGTCGAGATATCCCATACATATCCCATACCATGATATAATCCCACAGATATATCATACCGTGGGATATCCCGTCAAGATCCCATATCATATCAGATATGGGATTATGCAAATCTTAATAACCCATATTATATTAGAGTATGATATGGTAGATTAATATCCCATATTATATTATACCTTTCCGGCCAGTAATTATAATAAATCGATTTATAAAAATAATAAGATATATTTTTATATTTATTATAATCGATATCGCTTAGCTAGTAAAAGTATTTTATTTTAAAATAATATATAGCTATAATATATTAAATAATATTGCTAATAATAGAAGCTCTATATTTCTTAATAGCTTTTAATTTATTATTTATCTTTATTCTAAAATTAAGTAATATTTGAAATTATCTTTTATTTATAAATCGATAAATAGATTAAGCGATAAATTTAGATACTAAATTATTTTTTATATATATTTACTAATACTAAGTAAAATATTTATATAAAATAATTATTAATAATAAAGTTCGCTTATATAAATAACTAGTATTTCTCTATTGAAATAATATTATTTCTTCTAATATATAAATATTATTTCTTCTAATATATAAATATTATTCTAAAATTTATTAAAAGAGAGATATTCGCTATAAATAATAGAATAAAGAAGTTATAAATATTAAGAAATAAGATAGTAAAGTATTTTTATAGCGCTATTATAATTTAATTTAAGTATTATAATAAAATATATTAATTTTAAAATTATAAGATAAATAATTTAGTAATATTAGCGATTAAGAATCTAAAGTAAAAATATCTAAATAAGAACTTATTTTATAAAATTATAAAATTATTTTAAATTATAGATAAGATAGAAGCGTAAATATATTATCTACTTTATTCTTAATATATAGAATTTATAATATTTTTTATATATTATTATTTAAATTTTATTATAATCGCGATTATAATAATATAGCGAATATTTTTATATAAGCTTTTAAGCTTATTAATAATAATAAACTTTAGAAAATTTAAGAAATTATTAATAAGATTAAATATAAAAAAGATATTTAATATAAATTTAAATAAATAAATTAAGATAAAGAGTATAATTATTAATTATTAAATAATAAATTTATTAATATTAATAAGTTAATTTAAATTTATAAATAGATAAATAATAAATAATAAATAATAAATAATAAATAATAATAAGTCTTTTATTATTAAAATTTTTATTAAATTATATAAGTTAATAGTAAGTAAGTAAAGACGATAAAATAAGATATAAATATCGATTAAATTAGATATATTTCTAGATATTACTCATATTATATATATACTTCTTTATATTTATTACTATTAAAATAACGCTACGTAATAAAGCGAGAAACTTTAATGAAGTTTCGAGTGGAGTCGAGGTCGCGGTAAGGTTTCGGGTCGGGGTTTTAAGTTTCCTTAAAACCTCGACCTCGCCTCAACTCGGAGCGGGGTTTCGAAGTATACTCCGTTGACTCGATAAACTTTAAATATCCCTAAGCGACTCCTCTGAATTTTAATAAAATATATTAAAAATAGAATGAAATAGAGTATAGAATACGATATCGTAGTTTAAATTAGAGTATAAGATATAAGTACTTAGAAAGATACTTAGAATATATATTTATAAAGATATAACGAGAATATTATAAAAATAATAGTCTCGAGCTAATCTAATTAATAGGCTTAACGAGATAACGGGGTATCCCCGTTACTCCGATAGAAAAACTCTATCTCGACCCGACCCTACTTCGTTAAAACCTCGACTCGAAGCGAGATAATATTAGATATCTAAAACTTCGTCTTATCTCGCTTCGTTACGTAGAGTAATTAAAATATAAGTTAATTAAATAATTATATTATTTAATTATTTATTAAATTCTATTATAAAGAAAGTTTATTATATTAAAGTATATACTATTAATATAAATATATTTTTATTTAGAGTAATTATTAAAGAATTATCTAAGAATCTTATATTAGCGCTATTATTAAAAAAAGATTATTATTTAAATATTCTTCGCTATTTTAATATTAGATTATAAATTAAATTTATTAATCTAATTCTCTAATAAAAAGATAGTTAAAATATAGTCTTTAAGTTAATATTTATTAATATTCGCTATATATTAATAAAGACTCTTAAACTCTTTCTTTAATAACTTATTTATTTTCTATAACTTCGCTATATACTTATTTATTATTATAAATTAATATAAAAAATTTATAATTATAATAAAAGCAATTAAAGCTATTATTATTATATATCTTTATAATTTATATTATTAAATAATCTTCTTATTAAACTTAATTCGTTAATAAAATATTTATTAAAACTATCTAGCGCGATAATAATATTATATTAATTTACTTATTTGTTTTAAAGATATAAAAGGATTTTAATATAGCGGCTAATATTATATTTTTCGATCTTATAATTATTATAGAGAAAAGATTTATTTTAAATATATAAATCGTTATTTTAATAAAAGTAAGTTTTATATAATAAATTAAATATTAGAACTTATTAATAATTATATATATAAAGTAATAATAATAAGAATAATTAAGAATTAGTAATCGCGTCTATAAAGCGATTATATACTTACTATTAAAGTTATTATTATTATTAAAAAAGAATATTATAAAATTATTAATTTACGTATTAATATAATTAATAATAATAAGATATTTATAATAAAGAGAGGTAGATTATTAGTATAATGAGATATACTATATTTATATTAGTATTAATATTAATATTATAGTATTAAAATAAGTACTTATAAGAGAGATATTAGAAGTTATAAAGAATAAAAATAAATAATTTAAAAAGATTTGTTTATTTTTTTTATAGCGCTAATATTAGCGAGTAATATTTAATAATATAGATATTAATAACGCGTTTCGCTATTATCTATAAGATCGCGTTATCTAACTATTATTATTATTTTATTATTATTATTAATTAATAATTAAAAGCGTTATCGCGAACGCGTCGCTCTATTAATTACTTTCTTTAAATACTTATAATAAAGATCGTTTACTACGTTACTTCGCTATTAGCGTAATATATTATAAAAATAATATAATCTATAAAAAAACTCTTTTATCTTCTTTTACTTATTAATATTTTAGTATTTTATTATAAATTTCTAAATTAAATATTTATTCGCTATAGAAGCTATTAATTAGCGCTATAAAAATATTAATATTAAGCGTATTAATTTACTATAGATTATTATTAATTAATATTATAAAAGCGATATTATTCTTAAAGATAATATTAATATTATTATATAATATATTAATAACGCGTTTACGATATATAATAATTAATTCTATTATCTTATTAAAACGATATCGTAATAGATTAACTCTTTTCCCTTATTTTCTTAATAGATTTAAAGATTTTTTAATAAATATTTTATTTATTTAGACGTTTAGAAATTAGAGCTAAGAAGAGAAGATAATTATTAGATTTAATACTATTATAGATCTTAGTACTACTTATATTAAGGCGTCGATATTATATATTTTATATTAGAGTTTCTTTTAGAGTTTAATTTTAATAATATATCTTATATATTTAAGGGCTTAGCGAATATAAGTCTACTTTATATATCTCGAAGTTTTAATATTTCTTAGAGATTAATTCTATTATTAAATATACTATTAAATTTTATAATAACTCTACGTCTTTTATAGTTTATATTTACTAGCTAAGTACTAACAAACTACGTCTTTATAATAATCTTATTATCTAATAATTTAAAATTATTTAATCTTTTAAACTTTATTAAAAGAGATTTAAAAAAACTTATCTTACTATTATTAAAAGTCTTAGTAATATTTCTTAAAAAGTTATATATAAGATTTATATCTTATATTACTAGTAATCGCGCGAAAGCTAATTAAATTTAATAGAGATATATATATTAAAAGAGAGTATACGTATATTATATCTTATAATTAATAAACGTATATCTTCGATTTTTTAATTATAGAGATTATAGCTATTTAAGAGAGAGAGATAATATTACGAGTATATTTCTAATATATTACTTAGCTCTATCGTATAATATCTAAATAAGAATATCTTTAACTATATTATCAAGACTAAGACTTTTAATATATAGAAATTTTATAAAGATTTTAAAATCTAAAGAAAGAATTTTAATATTCTTTAAAATAAGATTTTTTAATATATAGAAGTATTAAATCGATAATTAAATCTTTTATAATATTAAGAAATAAAACTTAATATATTATATATACTTAATCTTAACTAGATATAAGATAAAAGATAAGAAGATAAGAAGAATAGATAGTACGATAGCCCTTAAGTGACTGTCGGCTAATACTCGGCTAGGCTAGAATCTCATGGAAGCTCCGGAGGCTTTACACCGTGACACGTAGGTACTAAAATAGTGAACTTAAAACTAAACGTATACCTCTGCGAGTTACACCTGTTCAGAATATACTTAACCCGTCCGAACTTGTTCTCACCTCGGCCGAGCTATAAGCCCACCATCCATCTATCGTACCATCTGCATCTTCCTCCGCTTTGTATCCTGTAATCCCGATAGACTTTGTTCATCATGTTTAAAGCAGCTGTTTCAGGGCTCGCCGCTATCCTCGAAAGAACTTCCTGGGTTCGAGAGCTGGCGGGCATCCTTCCCTTGTCTGCTCTGATTGAGTTCATCGACGTACCACAGAAGCTCCATATCCTCGAGCTCTCCGGTGCCGTGCCACTATGGAGCTGGCCGGTAACGCCGGCTGGCAGCCGCCTTCTACTATCCAACAACCATCTGCAACAAAGCTGCTGTCTGGATGCTTTTGGCAGCAGCGTGGGCTGGATTGGGTTAGACGGCCGCTTTGGAGATCAATATACGGTCATTAGCCCTGAGACTATTCGCCTCTGCCTCTCCTCAAAAAGACCTCGCACTATCGAGAATAGCCACAAAAACATGGCTGGAAAGAATTTGAGAGTTCAGAACCTCGAGATTGTCCACGTTTGCCGCCTGGAAGGACAAAAGCCGCGTGAACCATCAGAGTTCTGGTTATACCACCTCTTCTTGGATCCTTGGTGGATGTATTCGCGCGGTTACTTGGCGGTATCTGTATTTGGATGGATTGCGTTGCTTGGCACAATCATCATGAGCTGCATTTTACAGTGTTACCTGGCACTTGCTTTCCTCGTGATTGTCCCATTAACTGGTAGTGTCGTCCTTTTAATCCACGGAAGCAGACCCAGGGGACTACTCATAGAGCACAACAGCCCTTATAATCGCTTGATTGTCACGGCCGAGCACCTGAACGCAACGAATTGGATCGTCTTCTACGGAGAAAGCACCATTGTTAATTCGCTGCTCAATCGGGCACTAGAACTCCGAGGGCCAAAGATGCCTGGGGGGTATTTTGGTCTTCTACGGAAGTTCCTCAGGATCTCGATTCTGGGTCAGTGGGCCCTCGCACTCGGGGCAGCGTCGACAAAAGACTGGAACGCATATTTTATTTCCTTTTGGATCGCATTTTGCATCTTTTCGCATGCTTACTTGGTTCCCCCACGACTTGAAGCAAAAGACTGGATGAAAACCTGCGCGCATATCCAGCTGGAGCGATATCAGACTCAGCTCAGCTCGCGAAGAGCCTTGCTCAACACCATAATGGCGCTCAACCCAGACACGATCTACCGGGATGCAGACACACAGCAAGACGACCGGACGAATCTCTATGAAGGAGCCATGAAATGGATTGACCCGATCCTACAATCGGGTCCTAGCCGCAGTAGGTGGGAAGAAGCAACGCGAAAAGCAATGAACGAGGCAGAACGATTTTCAGCAGAGGAAATGACATCAGGAAATTTTCTAAGCGCGGAATGGAAGACTACTTGTATTCATCAAGGGAGGGAAGAATACTGGAGCGAATTCATTCCAGAAGGTATCTACATGGCGGCGAAGATTAAAGAGGACACAAAATTACCCGGACGAATGAAAACTGTTGCAGCGGCGTCATAGGATTGTTTGTCGCAATGTGGGAGCGATTTCACACAATTGCATTTATAGGCTGGGCAAGCCAGTAAACACGGTCTCCATGTCATTCTGGATCTTTCTTTCTTTTTCCCTCTCTCCCCTATAGCATCGACCTGGTCCATTACTTGTGTTATGATGAAACATGATTGAGTGACTACGAGCTGGCGAGTTTTTTGGTGCTTCCAGACTGATTGTCAGACGACTTCACTGGCTCTACACTGTTACTTCTTATATATTCTGAGGTGCTAGCTCGACAGTATATTTGCAACTGAGCACGTACCGAATTAACTGGCATATAAGATACTACCATATAGCCGAAGCGTCCATCTGATCATCGTTTAGAACCGTATTTTATATGTAAAGGGGCCTTATAACACTCTGGTATCGTATGTATGGGCCGAGGCGCTAGTCCATGGCCTTACTAAGCTCGCTGTCGCCAATCAGAGAGCTCGGAGAGACGCTCTTGTTAGATTGGTGGATCAGAAAATACCCCCGTAAGGGGATAATACCTGATTTGGGGGCGTAGTGTACCGTAAATGGCCTGTACCTACTCCGACTACTCATTATTCTACTTGCCTTGCTACTGTGAGGGTTTACTCAATAGATTCCCAATGGACTTGAATGGGTACTTCTGATTTTGACTCTGGGGACCACGGGGCCTAGTATAATTAAGTATTATTACTTAGTAACCACGCGGGTTCCAGAATTCGTCGTACACCTTAGTCAAAATTAGGCGCTAGGGTGTACGACGAGTTCTGGAACCCGCGTGGCAGCCTACTAAAGCCCCTATCTTACAGTCTAATTATGGCCTACATCTGAAAACCGTCATTTTAAACGATATTTTATATGCAAAGGGGCCTTATAACGATGTGGTCTTTTATATGACAATTAATTCGGTATTTCAACAGAAGTGATAGTCTGGCTGTGACGGAATTCAAAATGCATAGATTGATTGCCTCTGCTATTATGGCTTGGTATGCCGACGGATGATGGCCCGCATTCGTATCGCCAGGCAGCATAATCCGCGGGACATGTATACAGTTGGCTTTCTCGTACGGATGATCGCTGCACGGGCGAGGGCGAGATACAGTTGATAATGACATTACGACAACAACAAGACTAACCCCGAGACGACTGCGAAGTGCACCCCCATTATTCACGACGCCCTTCCTCCTCAGCTACTCAGCTCCTGCGATACGCGTGTTCATCTCAATTCCTCTCAGATCATCATCCTCCTCCTACAGAAGATACCGAGAAAGAGTTAGATACAAAATGTTACAGGTGCGCTCCAGGCGCCACAGCTTCTATGGATGAATGGACAACGTGGATTTATGTGCCTTGTATGAGTGGCTGCCAGGCTGGGTGTTGAGATTTGCTGCAGGACCTGTGTTGTAGCTACCCTTTATGGTAGCAATCAGGTGGCAAATAGGGGTATAAGTAGCCTTCGCTCAGCACTCTCATAGCTACCTAAAAAATCAGTCCTTCATACCATTTCCTACACTGAGCAGTGGGTATGGGTACTAAAATGCAGAAGTATGTCAGCGATACGGAAGGCACGGCTGCGGAAAAAGAAAAGCGTGACAGAAAACGGATCACGGTGGCAATGTTTACCTACATGAGGCTTTCAGCTTGCCTGGAGGTCTCGAGAGTGTGATGTTAGGGTGATCCCTCGTCGCTTCACTCGCTAAACCCGCTGAAGTCATCGGAGCCACTGGAGTCGCTGTCCATTTCTACGTCCCCGGTTGTGTCTAGGGTGGACTCGTTTAGTGATGATGGTTCAACATCAAGATGTCGAGGCGAGTTGACTGGGGCTTGCCGAGGCTTTTGAGGTGGTGGTGGTGGAGTTCCAGAAGAGGTAAAAGCCTCGTTTTGCCATTCTTTTTCGGCTTCCATCAAAGAATCTAGCAAACATTGCGCCGTTCCATGGGGTTCCTGCGGCTGGGAGCCAAATCTGACGTAACTCAGATATTGACTCCACTGATCTATTAGTTTAGGACGATAGACAGGACCGATGTAGGTACAGTCTAGGATAGGTTGGTCATCCCCTCTGTTTGAGATAGCGAAGGGTTGTATCAAGAGTACTAGTCGCCCGCCACCCTGTTCCCCTTCCATAAGAAGGCACCTTTCCCACTGCTGCGAAGCGACATGGACTTTCTGTCTGATGGATGTATGAAATGCGTACGACTGAATCACCGTAGTCTCTTGTTTCTTCAAAGTTCGCAGTCTACCCATACAACAGACAGAGCCTTCTTGGCAAACCTGACTTTCAGTGTATCCGGTCTTGATCTCATCTGAATGTTCGGCTGTCTGAGCGTAGAAAAGAGTAGACGGACACCAAGACCAGGGGCCACTTTCAGACTGAGTGGCATGACCATGTAAGAGAAACGTAAAATCGATATACTTGAACTTACTTAGTATATCACGAGTACTCTGTGCTTGCGAGGTCGAATCTTGTGATATTTCTAGGCCAGCAAGCAATTTTGCGATGAACATTTGGTCACGAGCATAAGTTGTCGCTCGTGTTCCTAAAACGTTGTAAAGATTTGCAAGTGTATCAACCTTGGTCTCTCGGTATCGCCTGAGAATGGAGGAGGCCACGTAGTGTCCCTGACGCGCTATAGATCTGTCTTGGGCTAAAATATCTTTGTCGAGGTCCTTGATCACAGGTGTAACGTCGTTATCGCCGTCTTTATAGAGTACCTTGACAGATTTGGACATTATCAACTCAAGTGCTGTCCAAGCACGTGTAAACCATGGAGATAGCAACAACGCAAGGCAAGGACTTCCGTCATCAGCCCATGGAAATTGTAAAAGAGATCTGTCGTGGACAATGGTGCATTTGGCGTTTTGAAAGTTTTTGTGCATATAATTCAATGCCCTTGTGCGAGCACTCCGTTCTGTAGGAATCGAAATTATATCCCACCAAATACCATTGCACTCAAGCCTTTCTGAGACTAAGCGAAAGTAGTTGACGAGGCATGCATTGACCTCGCCTGGTCTGCCAGTACCCATCCCTGTACCGTCTGACCACACGTGCGAGATAGCTGCATAGTCGTTTCCTCTATAGATGCTTGTTGATATTTCGGCTCCGCCAGTCTCGTTGTGGAGACGCCACGCTGAGTATTTATGACTTTCAACGAGCTCCAAGGAAGGAAATTTCAATGTACTGCATTCTTGTTGGTTATAACACACATGTAGCTGTTCCACCGAGGTGCTATTATCGTCTGTGAAATGACAGGCTTCGCTCGTGCAGTCGTTGTGGCCTACTTGGCGAAATTGAGCTTTGTTGATAGATTCGCATGCTAGAAATGCTAGCGATGACAGGTCAAACCCTTCGTATCTGCTGGTCACTGCAAGATTCCAGAGCCTGGAGGAACATATTTCAAGCTCATTGGCCCTTTTGAGGCTCTCAAGTATTCCAGGACTGTACCCTGGGTGTTGTAACTGGAGAGGGTGAGGCATGAATGGGTATTCGGCCGGGTGGAACATATCACAAATTTCCAGCATCCAGATGGTCAGTTCAGTCACACGGAATTCCTTTAAAAGGTCTCTTGCACTGCCGACGAACTCGAGTCTATCAAGCAGAACAAATGGAAACGCTGCATCATTGCTCTGCCACGAAGTTTAATTTGACTCAGGATGGCAGGTGGCTAGACACGACACCAATCGGATCACCCATTCCCTGTATAGGGGTAACTCATCGCATCGCGGTGAAACTTCTTCCATTTTCTCACGGTTTTCAACACAGATTCTCTTGTTACAGCCGCTAATCTTCGCTGTATCACAGAATCTCTTCAACCATTGAAAAGTTGATTCCCTCTGCACATTGTCATGCAAGTATACGTCATAACTTAAGAGTTCCTGAAGTCTGCCGGCATTTGCACACTCGCTTGAAGCGCCTTCGCTCCCTGTTTGTATACAGGTCGTCAGCGGATGGTTTGGAGCTTCCTCTGGGTTGGTGCTAGGTGAAGAGCCTGCCATTGATGTATCTTGATGGGGACTGTGATCTTGGTTTGACTGGACCATGCCGTCATTGTCCTCCTACTAGAACTTGATCTAGTGTCTTGAATTTTCAGAATCAAAAAATACTAAAGTTGTCAGAGGGGCAGTAAAAAAGGCGAGGAAGAGGTTTGCGCAAGCTAGATTGCGGCTGTAGAGTAAGGCAATTCGAGGCAAATAGGCTGATAAAGGTGCTTTGCTAGCGCAACACTGTCACGCAGAAAATGCCAGGTAACGGACTTATGCACCAAAAGATTTTGTGCCAGTTGTCGTTTAGTGCTCTCTCAGGAAAGAGATCAACGTCTTGCTTACTGTCTAGCGCGTATGCTGCACATGGAACATACGAGGTCCTATCGAAGCTTTTGAATAACTAGTGCTGTCTCGCGTAACGTCCCATGAAAACTACACGCACAATGATTCTAAATGATGATTGGCTGGGTCCTAAGGCCCAGCCGCACGCAGACAGCGGTCCACTATGCAGCTCAGCCCTAGGAAAACTCCCTCTACGTAAGGTAGAAGACCTGGAGTCTAAGTACAAGAAAACGCTAAAAAACAAGGCGCGGGTGGGTGGGAAAAGACCAAAAAACCTCTTCTTACGACGAGAGGAACAAGAATGAGAAGTAAGAAACGGGGGGGACACCGCCTATTCAAGGCTCTTCCAACATGGCAATCTCGGCTATTCTGCCATAAGTGTGCTGTGCCCTCACTAGCCCCTAGTCCAGCTGTGGCGACTAATCGTCCTTGAGAGAATGTGTGCACGGACCCTTGGGCATCCTTGCATATCACACCAAGCCCACCTTGTCATCCAATACAATCTTTGCCGTTATCTCCCTTTAGCTGGCGACCTATTAGATATCGACTAATATAATTCATTTGCTTTAATTGTCTTTACCTTTCACGATAGTCAATGATAGGGTAGTCTACTGTTACTTAGCCTCGCAGCTCTGCACCTAGAATAAAAGAGCACCTAGCTATTACAATATCAG